CTAATGCTGCTTACCCATCTCTCAAACCTCTCGGCAGCTGGGTTAGAGATCTCACCCTGCGCACAGCATTTGTAGAGGTATGTCTATGTCACCAGCATTTCCCATTAATTACCTAGATGTGGCAGCCCAATCATTTATCCAGCCACAGTTTCATCAAGAACTGAAAATATTTGACACTTTTCATAATAACATAAAAGATGTCTAAAACATAAAAAATTTGTGGAAAATTTTACAGAACTGCACTTGATTTGTAATGAGAAGCATTTATAAACTAAACACAAAAGCTTAAAGGTCTCCCTGCAGTTTTTCCAACACATAATAAGCTCAAGGTTTTAACTCTTGCAAAAGAAGAAATAAAAAAATAAGCATTGTAATTTAATTTTACTTCTGTAGTTTAAAGTAAAATATATAATTATTTTTAAATGTCATTTTTATTTTTACTGTGCAGTTATATTACAATAATTTTATATTTCTGACTTAGAATTATTATTATGATGATGATTATTATTATATATTCAAATTGTTTGGGTTCCTACATTTTGAGTGTACTGCCTTGCCTTGTCTACTTTAAAGTCCAGGTACAAATCAAGTCAATGCCATTTGCATGGCATTTGCAATGTATCGTGCATTTTAATACATGGCTCACAGGCTTTGAAGCCAATCTGTAAATCTGTACTATCGTATTTCAGAAAGGCAAGGCCTTAAAAATAGTCTTAGGTTTAAGACTCCACTCACATGCATGTGTGCAGACACACACACACACGCACACGCTTTTTTCCTCTGTATTCAGGAGGTTCACTCTCATTGTACATGGACAATTTCCTCAGGGTTGGGGATTCCAGTAAAGGCCAGTGATATATGAGCTGTGTGCTGTTGTTATAGTTCATGAATGGAGCCAGAGGGGCTCACAGCCATTCTGAACCACACTCAAAGAGGCTACATAAACAACTACAATTTCTTTACTGTATATCCTCGCCTCACTGTCTGGCACTTACATATGGTGATTGCGTTCTTGCACGGGTTGATGGGCACACCAAACTGTTATCTCTGACTGGATGTGCTGTTCCGTGTGGCTGGTCTGAGTGCTCTGTTATATAACACACATACACACACACGATATGCTCATGTTAATATGGATGAATTTCAGAAAAATGTGTGTTTCTGAACTCGGCGAACAGGCTCAGCATATGTAACTGGACCAGCTAAAATGTCAGCAGTGAAGTGAGAAATTTTCCTCTACATCAGCATGAATAGACTGAGGTACACTGCATAATTTAAGCCCACCATCATATATGAGAGAGAAAACTTAAAGGGATAGTTAAAAAATGAAAATTCTGCCATTATTTACTCACCCTCAAGTTGTTCCAAACCTATATGAGTTTCTTTCTTCTGTTAAACACAAAAGATATTAAAAAAATGTTGGTAACCAGACAGTTGACGGCACACCATTGACTTCCATACTATTTTTTTCCTACTATGAAAGTAGTAGAAAAGAATAGCATTTATTTAAAACAGAAACAATTTTTAACATTATAAATGTCTTTACTGTCACTTTTGATAAATTTAATGAATGAAGTCTTGCTAAATAAACATTCATTTAAATGTTTTTTTTTAAAAACAAAAAAACATTTTGAAACCTAAACTTTTTGAACGGTTGTGTACAATTTCTTTTCATTTGTTGAACATATTTTCCACATAATGGATGTACATGGGAAATGGGGCTGTCAAAAAGGACCATAAGTAATCTAGTTTACGTATGACTCATGTGCTATACTAAATGCCTTCCAGAATGATATGATGAAAAGCAGGGGAAGGAGGAGGTAAAGAAGAACATGCATGTACACATATCTCATTGACATTCTTGTCTAATTTCTTGTGAAGCTGTAAGTTTAAATGTTTGGAGGGTGAATGAGATTTGAGAGCTAAGCCAGAAGGCAAGATTTTCACTGAATAAATAAGATTTTCATTTTTTTCTGACACAAAACTTTTTTTGAGGGGAAATGAGGTGAACCATTTCTCTAAAGACTATGGCACACTAATATAAGCATTTATTATTTATCAGCTTATCCTGATAGAAATATCCTGATATCCTCCACAAGCTGTATGATTTGAGGGTCTTTTTTTAAGGTTATGTAGTTGTGTCCATCAACTAGAACCTTAAACCCTCTAGTTACTGATTTTTTTCACATGCTCTGAAATAGAAATGATCCAAATCTGTCGGCTTTACCTCTGAGCCGACTTTGTTTGCCCTCCCAGGGGAAAAGATTTTTGTTTTGTTTTCCTTTGAATGACCTTTGTTCTTTCCATTTTGAATTCACAAGATTGTAAAGTACCATTGGTTGTGTGTGTGGTTGTGTAAACAGAGTTGGATCACAAGGGGTCAGCCCAAGTCTTTTTGGATTTCTGGATTATTTTTCCCTCAAGGATTCCTCACAGGTAAGAACAAGTTTGCATTAATACCTGCTCTGGAAAATAAAATAAATCCCAAACAGATTTAGGCCCTAGAAAATAGGTTGAATCAAAACGTATGTATACAGGATTTTTCAAATGGCCATTTGAAACACCTTTGTTCAATAACGAGTTGGTTCTGTCTCACAGGTGCACTGCAGAATCATGCGCGTAAATACAACCTGCCCATTGATGAGCTGAATTTCCGTTTCAACGTGGTACCAGTGTACAGAGACCAGACTCTTGTCACTGAAGCTCTGAAAAGCCTTGAGCCAGGGAAGGAACTTGACATGGACAAGGAGGTCAGCTTGGAAACAAGCAGGAATACTTGCAGAGATGTTTTAACATATATTTTTGAATATGATTACAACAAAAACTTTAGATATATACTGTAAACATTAACATCCCATGATCAAGGGATGTAATTTTTATTTTTCACTGAGGTCCTTTTTTAAGCACAAATAACAGTCATAATTTACTTTTTAATGATTTTCCTCTTTGAAAAACAGTGATACAGGATTTTTTGCAGGATTATTTGATGAATAGAAAGTTTAAAAGATCAGCATTTATTTGAAATAGAAATTTCATCATAAATGTCTCTTCTTTCACTTTTGATGAATTTAATCCTTGTGGAACAAAAGTATTAATGGCTTTCAAAAAACACAGTATAGGTGTTGTCCTATATATCGAAGGACAACCAGAAATTTGAGTTCTAAAACTAGCCTTTCAGTAGGTTTTCAAAGTGCAATTTATTTTATTTCAACAGATTAAGAGAAAAATGTTGTCAAAATGGTTAAATCTCACATCATTAATGTTGTCAATATGTTATGGTCTGCCTTTGTAGCTTCCCTCCATGGAAGATGGTGTGTTGGTTCATGGGATGTACATGGATGCTTGTCGCTGGGATGACGTAAACATGGTTATTGAAGACGCACTGTCAAGGGTGATGAACTCCGTGCTGCCTGTGGTGCATTTTGAACCTCAGCAAAACTATGTTCCTGAGTCCACCTTCTACGAGGCACCACTGTACAAGACCTCTGCTCGTGCTGGAACTCTGTCAACTACAGGTCAGTTTATGAGTCTTGTGAAGTTTAAACTGTTATCCTGTTCCTGCCACAGAGGAAAATAAAAATAAGTTAATTGTAACTTTAAATCTCACAATTATGACTTTAACTTCAGCTCACAATTACCTTTGTTTACAATATACAGTAGGTACTTAACCCACAATTAACTTTTTTTTTTTATTCTTCTGAGGCAGAAACATTCATCTATATATTTACCTCCAGTAGGCTATACATTTTTTTTTTTAAACTTGCTTAAAAAAATCCACTGTTTAAACCATCAGTATCAGATTTTAGCTTTGAAATGTTATCTTATTTATGATATTTTTACTTTTTTCTTTTATTAAATTGTATGTTTTTGTTCTGTCTATTAGGACACTCCACAAATTTTGTGGTAACTGTGATGTTGCCATCCAATCGGCCCAGTGACTACTGGATCTCAAAAGCCTCTGCACTACTCTGCCAACTCAATGAATAAGCAAAGCTTTCCTTCGCAACTTTAGATCATTTTTCAACAGAGCTTTTAATGTTTTTGAGCACAAGTAACAGTAAAGAATAAAAAAAAAACCCATTAAACATTGAATTATAAATCAAAATGACCTGTAATGTTGATTTTTCTCTTCCCTTCCCCTCTAAAATGAATAAATGCACCTACAATACATGTATAGTAGTAGAAATACTAGTTGTAAATTAAACAAAACTAGGTAAACATAACACAGCCACATACACAATATACAGAAAGTGCGAATTAAATGCCAAGAAGTACTTATGCAAAATACATGGATTCACCTAGAACTTTAAATTGTTTTATTATTTTTTTTAATTAATATTTTCTAACAAAATTACTTATATCCACAGTGTTTACATAGTATTTTTACATAATACAACAGAGCACAGGGTCAGAATGAAGTGACAAAATAATGACACTCTGATTATGTGGACAAACTGGACACAAGTGAGAGATTTGAACACACTAATAACTGTAATATTTATTTATACAAAAATGTCAAAATGATGACAGTTACAGAGCTTATTAATTCTACAGTTAACATAGGTTATTGTTGCTTTGATAAAGAAAACGTTTGCTAAAATTTACGAATTGTATTACAGCTCAGTGATAACTTTTCATTCTAACAATATTAAATTATGTCAAAAATATTACTAAAGCCAAGAAATGAAAAGAAACATATTTCCAAAGCGATTATGGGATTGGTTGTTTATATTTCACATAACACTTTTAGACACAGTTATGTCTGTAAAGTTTGTCATACTGAGAACACATCTTTACATAAACCCTCAAGTGCTCAGTCCAAGTACAGTATATAAAGACATACAATATCACCCAAACAGCTTGTCCAAGGGTCTGTATGTTTGTTCGAAAAGTTCAAAAATACACAACTTTGACAAGTTTTTTTATCTTAATTATTGTAACAATAGTTCACGTTGATCTCAGAACGATGAGAAAAGGAAGGACTCAATCACGTGTTTTTTTATTTTATATCTTTAAAAAGAAAAAAAAGAAAATGCAACGCTATTACAATTATGTGAAGTCTTTCGAGACTGCCTCAATGAAGTTTGGCGCGGCCATGAGAATGGTAAAGGTGCAGATGATGGAGAAAAGTGAAAACGCCACCAGACAGAGCCGATCCACGACTGCTGCCGCAAATTTCCACTCGCTGCAGATTGCCTCTGCCTCATCCTGGTCCCGGAATCGCTGAGCGATGTACATCACTTCCGCCAGGATGTGATGGATCTCCTGTTCGCCTGAAAACACCCTCACTGCCTCCCGCTGTTCTTCGTTTGGCGACCCGCCGACTCGACCAACGCTGCAAGACATGCCGGAGTCGCTGCTGGGTGGGCAGCAAGCGCTGTCAATGGAGTGGTAGCCGAAGTACAGGTTCATGTGACCATTGGTGGTTGAGTTGGTAGAGGACGGCTGACCGGGCATTACCCCCATCTGAATGCTGCTGGCGCTGGCATGGTGCGCTGGAGAGTGGTCATACTTGTTGTTCCGTTCCTTGCCCGGCTTCTTCATGCGCAAGAACCAGGCGCACCAGTTGAGCAGGATCACGCGCACCTAAGAAGAACAGGAAGAATCTGCTAAAGATGAAGCACTCAGATGTGTGAACAAGACATTCCTCTCTTTATTATGATGATATGCTGTATGAAATCCGTATATTTCATTAGATTATGGGAGAAAGTGTCCATTAAAGGTTTGTGTGTTTAAAAATTCAGATGCTTCAAGCAGCAGGTTCATCCCACTGGACATGAACCAAATAAGAAACACCAGACAGCTTTTCTTCTCATAAGAGTAGCTGAGGATACATTAAAGTTTAATACAAATAGACCTCATTACCTCTCCAGTGGGAGACCACAATGCCAATTGCACTAGAGTCATTCTACAACTCACCCACATATTGTGTATATTCAGATTTTCTCCGATTATTGTCAGAAGCAATTTTTTAATTTGGATTGTTTGTGAATGCAGCAGTAGTTGCTTGAACAGAAAGCAGTATTTTAAGTTAAACATTGCATACATCCTGATAGTTTGTATTGTTCCAAAAGTTTAAAAAAAATGTTGGAGTAATGCTCCGCAAAAAAATGTGAAGAGATTTAATGACTTTAGGGTGGATGAAAAAGCCTAAAGGAATTGAATAAATGATTTTTGTACAGATTTTTGCCCCAATTTGCTGTCTGGAAGAGTCAGCGCTAGTTGGGGAAATTCAAAGCTAGTCTGTAGAATTTGGGCTGTCGATGTTGACAGATTTCTCCAGAAAATCATGTTGTGTATGATGGGCAGACTCAGACACAGATTGTTTTTTTTAGCTTCAGACTTTGATTCCATCTACTCATACAATTAGCTCAAAACATGTTTGATATCTTCTAACATATATTGTTTTCATCTGTCATGTGTCTCCTAGCAACGAGGCGCATGTCCGGAGTGACTTGAACGTCTAGCAGTTTGTGATCCTCACAAGTTGTATGATGCCCAGTTTTCCTCTATTTACAAAGTCTGCAATTGTATGATGCCTAGTGTAAAATCTGTTCAGATTTTAAAACTTGTGCAATGTACAGTATTCCAGCCTTAGCTCTAGATATCCACTTGTGTGGAGTGAGTGGACGTTGCCAATACATTATCTGTGGGAGTTGAGAAACACACTCACCCATTAAATTGTGGGAATGACAGAAAAGCATAAAAAAAGTTGAGGAATACTCAACTTTGTGGTGAAGTTTGCAAGTTCATTCCATTTTTTCTAACTGTAAAATTTGTTTTCTTTTTTGTTTAAAAATCAAAGACACTGCAGCAGAATGGCAAAAGTGCATGGTCTCAATAAGCTATTTTAAAAGTTTAACTTCTTAACACAGTGTCTTAAAAACATCGTACACAAAAAACAACCCCCCCCCCATGTGAACATCCTTAACTAGCATTGTATACTACCAAGGTCAACTAAACGGGTCTATTCCTCAAAAGGGAGGCAATATTCCTACTTAAAACCCAACTGTGGTTGTGGAGGGAGGCAAAGAAGATGGAATTCAAATAATTTGAATGCTGAAAGGGATAGATGCGAGCTGAATATGACTTTCTCCATGACTTCATCTCAGTGTGAAGTTCAGGAATAAACGGAAGGCTCATTGGAGCGGGGCGGTTATGACCTGACAGGGAACCGCTTGTTAAGTCTGCCACAAGCAACTTCCTGTCTTTCGCGCCCCTTCACCCTCCAACACTCCTCATATGTGGGGCTGGCAGGCTGAGAGGGCTCACTACAAGTGATATCCTCGCCCTCCTCAACCACATCCGCCTCATCCTGGCTGGATGGTGCCAGAAACATGCTATCTGCTGGATCAGAAGATTCAAGAGACTGTACATCCTGATCCAGCAGATCAATCAAGCCAGTGACTGAGGAACGCGAGAGCCATACCTTTCTCAAACTCCTCAGCCACCTCGACCTGCGATCCCCACAACTTCAGTCTCCGCTGTGCCACAGTTACCATGGAGCCCGTCTCTTGAAAATAGGGCCATGCGCAAACAGAGCTTACTCAATGTGAATTTTTCACAATGGGCGCATTCAGATCCCTTGAGAACCAAACGCGCATGCTCCTCACCCAAACACATAACGCAGAGTGTGTCCTTAGGTGTCAAAATATGTGCTAATACAAACAAACGGCTCCTGAAGACAAAAAAGCTGATGACGTGCATCGCATGCGCCCTCTTATTCTCACGGGCGCTCCGGTAATGATGTCATGGAATGTCATCGGCCAATAAAAGTGTTGCGTTTACACATTTGCTTCAGACATTGGTCACGCTGATGATGCAGTGTTGAGGTCCACTTTGAAAGAGAACTACTCAATTGAAAGAGTTGTCACTCACCCATCTTGGCATCTTTCCCCCTTGTGGATCATGATGATGAAACTGCAGAACGAGGACAGTGACAACAACTGACAAGCCCACAATCATCATGGTGCTGGCGAAGTACTGAGCTACAGAGCCAAAGAAGACACAACCGTTTAAATTGGCAAGATACTGTCTAAAACCACATCAACGAAGAAGTAGTTCTTCATGAGATTCAGTACAATTTCCAATTTGAATGAAGCCCTTAACTTACCTATGAGAGGAACTGAGTCAGAGGTGGCCGGCATGATCTCAGCCACCAGGAGCATGAAGACCGTTAATGACAAGAGGACAGTTATACCTGTCAGACAGGAAAGTGGAAAAAGTAAGTGTAAAATAAAATAATGTCATAAAAGTGCATAATTATGCATATTTGGTCATTATGATAAAAAAGATTAAGCTTTACTGCATGTTTATCTTACCCAGTGATATCTTCTCTCCAGAATCAGCTGGCAGCAGGAAAACGAGCAGAGCCAGGCCAGAAATGAGGACACAAGGAATGAGCAGATTCAGACCATAATACAATGTTCGCCTGCGCATTGTTACTGTAAATGTCACGTCAGGGTAAGGCTCCTTACAGCACTCATAATACAGCTCATTACGCTTCCCAGGGACCCCTGCCAAAACACAAAGGAACGCAATCAGGTTTATGTCGTACAACAGCAGGCATTTTCCACAAATACAGTACATTCTGGTGTCCCATTACTTTTTATGAAGCAGTAAAGGCACAAATCCCATGTTTTTTTGTTGTGAGAACTATTAGATATTGTCTAACATACAATAGCATGAAAAGTGGCTGTTTTAAGCTTTTTTTTCTTCAAAATGTTATTTTATTTTATTTGATACATTTTGTCTGTTAAATTCAGATGTTCATTTAAAAATTGATTTTAAGATCATGATTTTGAACCACATTTTAAAGTAAAATTTAAACACTTCATACAAAAAACAGCTCATACGATATTTTGTTTGATATCCTGAGGATGATCAACATTTAATTTGATTTTAAAAAAAGTATATTTAAAAAGGCAGCCAGCAGAGTGGTTTAAGGTAAAAGCTAAGGCAGAACTTCAAAGTGACTCATCTACAACATAAATGAGATGAAGGCCTTTTTTTAAAATAGAGGCTGTCAGCTAAGACGAGCATATTTGTTACAGGACAAAATCACAGACAGGATCTTCATGACCTTTTAAAGTGCATAACCGAAAAAAGAGTTTTTCCCAAAACTTTTTGTTGTTGTTGCTAAATCTAAAGCATTCACAAGAATCAGCCATTGTGTATTCTGTTTTTTGTCCTTGAACTTGGTGATTACAGTACGGATATTTGCTTTCCTTTTCTCTAATTTTTGCAATGCAATCCACTTAATCCTACAATGGTCTCCAAAATACCAATCAAATTCAATAATTCTGTGCTTGGTAGCCAAACAAGGCTAACCCAAATATTAATGATATGAAACACAGTAATGTCGTCTATAATACACAGTACCTTAAGTCAACCCAAACTCAAAAATTCTTGAAATAAGCCTTATTTCTACCAGTTGCAAGACTAAAGGAAAACAATGACATGACATGTTGGAAACAAATGAGACAGCCTTGATCTGTCCGGGTCAGACAGCCCTCCTCTCCAATTGATTAAAAATGAAATCAAAATTGTAATTAATCAAACTAGGCAGGCGGATGAAGAGCTTTCATCAGGATTTCACGCTGGTCAGAATTGTTATGGCACTCAGAGACAATCACATCAAAGCAAATGGCTGGTTTGAGTCATTTAACTGATTACAAAAGACATACCTGAGTGATGTGGTTTGTGTGTGGGTTTGAAGGGGGAGGGAACTTCCATATACAACAATAGTTATGCAAATTTGTCAGATAAATGCAAAAACAGGAAAAACAACCTATTAACAGATATAAAGATGTAGAAAGATTCTTGTTATTTATCATAGATGTTTACACTTTTGTGCAACAGAGTGATCAGTAGATTGCGGCTTTGTGTGTGCAAATTTGTGGCTCCCTGCGGTGTTAAAGATGCCCATTCAGACTGCCCGTGTCACTGCACAACCTTGGCACCCAACTGGCCATTGGTGCCAGGCAGAATCAGTGCCAAAGCACTGCCAACTACCATCAGGACCCCATCTGTCGAACAGACCCTGGGTCACATTGGCAATGAAAGCGTAAAAACGAAAGACTGAGACAGAAACGGAGAGATTAAACATCCAAACACGACCAGATTATGAGATTAGAAAACCTGCGCCATGCACGCAAACATTCATTTCTAATATTAATATTTCGAATATTAGTTTAAAACATCCTATGATGCACAATTACAAGAATTTCTTGTCATATTATACATAGAATTCATATTATATAACAATGTTATTTTATTATAATATTATAATATAATGTTATAATATAAAGCCACATATAAAAGTAAATTACTTTGTTGTGGTCGACAGGATGTTAAAATTCTGTCTGTGTTGTCTTAATCCATAAGAATAACAGAAGAAATGCTCTCATGAGGGTATGAGAGTCAAGACATTCTCCAAATTATCCATGCAAGTCGATAAGATGAATCAATGTAACTCCACAACAACTCATAAATGTATCCACTAACCATTCAGAAACGTCCAGGTGCGTCTAAAAGTGGCAACCTCTTCCTGAGTCTCTCTGTAAGGCTGCACTCCGCTGCTGGTTATTTCTGAGATTTTGGATGAGTGAGATTATTTGCGTGTTTTGTATTGTATCCGAATTTAGCTTGTGTAAAGGATCGGCCATATTCTGAATGGGGGCGGGGAGCAGCAGCTCATTTGCATTTAAAGGGACACACAAAACGGCGTGTTTTTGCTCACACCCAAAAAGGGGCAAATTTGACAAGCTTTGCAAATTTTGAGATTAAATTTCACAGACACATTATGGGGACACCATACATTTATATTACATCTTGTGAAAAGGGGCATAATATATCACCTTTAATATAATTTAAGTTGAAATTACTTGTACAACCAAGTTGATTGTACTTAAAAACTTAAGTTCAGCTGCTGCCTTAAATTTCTAAGTTGAAATAGGTGGAATGTTTTCAAAGTATATAACTGTCGGACTATATAACTTGGAACACCACCCTTCCAATCCAATTCAAGGACTGAAACTAACTTGAAATATTGAAATATGAAAATGACCATTTACAAGTTTCCTGGGACTCTTACCCACTAAATCCCACTCTCCATTGGGGATGTATGCAGAGATGTCCACTGACTGCATCTGTAGGTCCAGCAACCATCCGTTATGAGTCCAGGAGCCAAACTTGAGGTCACATTTCTGTATATCGAATGGGAACCAGCGTACATCTATGTAACAAGTACTCTTCAGAATACCTGCGTGGTTACACACAAACATACATACTGCAGCATATAAAAAAAATCAATAATGGCAATAAAGAAAGTCATGCTGGATTGTAAATGAATGTTGAAATTATCTTAAATATTACACTATATATCACAATTGGTAAACCTACAAAACAAACTGTAGACTAAGGCTCAATCCCAATTCACCCCTTGGCCCTACCCCTTGTTTTCGAGTGTACCCCTTGGCCCTTAAAACAGAGTTACAAGGGCCAAGGGGTTGAAATATTCCCCTACGAAATGGAACAACCCTTCATGAACCCGATACGTCATCAGTCGTCGGCGATGGCTCTGCAGTTACGGAGTTTTTACAGGATTTCTCCATGACAACGACTGACAATCAGCGCAGCTGCTCTTAACTTTGAGGAAACATGATGCTTATAACGTTCCTTCCTCGAAATGTATGTCTTTTCTGTTTCGGAAAGGTCATTTATTATACAATTTCTTAATTTAAATGACTCATTATTATAAAAGTAAATAAAGTGCACGGTGGTGTCATCTGGCGCTAAATTTAAATGTTTGTGTTTGTGTTAAATGTTTGTCTAAAACCGTTTGTGAAGCCATCTCGCCGGTGATTCGCGATGTATTCTGCGAACTTTCTCGTAGCCCTCCGTTTGGAGTGTGCCTCTGAAAAATCTCCGTTTCGAGGGCTATGTAGCCCTACCCCTTAGCCCTACCCCTCGATCTAAACAAGAATCGGGACACCCTACCCCTTGACGTGAACGCCCAAAACGGAGGGGTAGGGCCAAGGGGTAGGGGCAAGGGGTGAATTGGGATTGAGCCTAACTAACATACTAACTAACTCAAAGTAAAAATTAAACTATAATAGTAAATCAATTATACTAAAATAACACTTGTTTCTAATGGGAACTTGCAATGTGTCCTCTAGCAGGCACTATGGGAAATGCCTCCGGCATGACTGGTGTCTGAAGCACATATATAAATGTGACAATTGCATTGTCCGGAGACAGCCTATGATGTCATTAACGGTGCGACCGTGAGTATAAAAGGGGGCCTGAGGAACACCTCATTCTCTTCTTTGTCTTTAGGGACCGTTTGTTGTGAGGTACTAAGCGACCTAGATATAAACTAGTGAGAAGAGCTTCAGGAATTGTCGATCCGTGTCCTCGGTTTTTGACACCAAATGATACACACGACTTATGCGTGGTTTGTTTGGCGTCGCGACTGAGATCGTGGGGGTCTCAGATGGAGCTTTGAGGAGTTTGAGAGAGGATTCACTCACATTCCTCAGCGGCTGACGAGAGCGAACTACTGGAAGAGAATGTATTGTCACTTACATCCTCTGATGCAGCAGGCAACCCGTATTCGGCCCGCATCAATTGACAACAGCATGCCAACTATGCTAACATCGAAGTAATGCGAGAGCAAGGATTTTTGTCGATGCCCCCTATTGAAAAAAAGTTTGCGAGAGTATCTCTCGGCAGGGGAGGCATCGACACTGAAGGCTCCGGCCCTGCCATCCAAGCCCCTTAATACAAGTGGTAGCTGAGTTGCACCGCAACCACAGATCTCACTCTCCGGGCCACAAAACAAACTGCTGCCGCAGTCGGTAGATCGATGCCGGCGATGGTGGCCACGGAGAGACATCTGTGGGTTCAATTCAAGGAGGTGAAGGCGCGAACAGCGTACAAGACGTTCATTCCGTTAATGTATTTTTGGCCCTGGCCATATTCCCTTTAAGGAATCTCTTAAGCACGATTCCAAGCCTTTGAACTTTACTCTTGAGCCAAACCTATTTGGCCCTGCAAGGGAGAGAGCAAAGAACTGTATCCTCCTCATTTAGGGTATGTATTTTGTGCAGTAGTGGGTAGTGTCACTGGCAGCTAACTGGTGCATCCTCTGGGGAATTTTTGTAATCCCTCAGGTTGGTAATCAATGTTGAGTGCTTATGTCACAAGGCATGCATTCAGCATGGCAGAGTGGGTATTTGTTCCCCATATTTTCCTCTAGAAGACCAAGTGCAAGTTCCCATTCGAAAGGGTTCCCTGAGAAGGGGAACGAGACACTGCGTCTTGTTTAGGGGTGTAAATATTAATCGATTCGTATCGATCCATCGATTATACAGCCGACGATTCGATGCATCGATGCGTCCGCAAGAGTATCGATTAATGTGTTTATTTTGCTGCCTGTCTGTTCGCCTGTCTATTTTCAGCATCAGCTCCGACATATGCGTACAACCTATTCCTAAGCTGCGGGTGGCGCTAACCTCATTATTGTCTTCTACTTCACACCGCTTCACACGAGTTACTTACGTTTCACAGTCTATCTATGTTCACACACATTGTTGAGTCTGACTTTCAAGAGCGATGGAACCGTCAGAGCGAGCTGGCAATGAAAGTGAAATGTTACACACTCCAGTCGGCGTCAAGTCATGGGTGTGGAAGTATTTTGGCTTCAGGAAAACAGCAGTGGTAAGAGATGTAAAAAGATGTTGCCGTTTGCAAAGAAGACTGCTATAGTGTAACATACACATTATGTGAATAGAATACTGTGGCGAGCTGGACACGGCCGACGTGAGAGAGCGGCGCGAGGCCGGTGGTGTGAGTGTTAATGAACGTCACCTGTGAGACGCACCGGTCTCGGATCTCTCACGGAGAAGCGGAAGCATAAAAAGACGAGCGACGAGCTGAAGATCGAAAGACCGGTGCGTCTTACAGGTGACGTTCATTAACACTCACGCCACCGGCCTCGCGCCGTTCTCTCACGTCAGCCGCGTCCTGCTCGCCACAAATGTTGTTTCTGTATTCTCAATAAAAGGCTAATTATTATATATTTTTTTTTGTTTTATTTGAAACTAGATATCATGTACAAAAAAAATATCGAGTATTGAATCGAATCGAATCGTATCGTGGGAAATTCTGAAGTATCGAAAATAATCGAATCGTTGGCTTAAGAAATCGGTATCGTATCAAATCGTCATTAAGGCTCCGATTTACACCCCTAGTCTTGTTGCCATGCTTCTGGGATGCCTGCTAATTCTCCTTCAGGCAAAGAAGTGGATGATGTGTTCCTCAGGTGCGCTTTTATACCCACGGCCGCACTAATAATGATGTCATTGGCTGTCGCAGACCAATACAATTGTCGCGTTTATATACGTGCTTCAGACACCTGTCATGCCGGAGGCATTCCCCATAGTGTCCTTAGAGGACACAGTGTGAGTTCTCAGGGAACCATGGTTACATGCATAACCTAAGACAGTTTAAATGAAATTAACTTTACATTTTAAATGAAATGATAGCAAAGGTAATCTAAATGTAGAAACAGAAAATGAGCACACAATTAAATGTCCAATATTAACCAATACCGATAAAAAAAAAATCTAATATCGGCCAATGATCAAAATGTTACCAATTTACTGTGCATCCCTAACTTAAATCTGTCAGACTTAGACAAGGTCACACATATTTGTGTGGTTGGATGATTAAAAGTTGTAAGGATAATTCATACCTGGTGGTATGTACTGACAGGCACCTGATGCATTAACCAGGACATTCGTATGGAAGGTAGCATCAAACCTCTCATCAGCACTGCAGAGAAGAGTGTGAGCAAAAAAATACAGATTAAACTTTAATAAAAATATTTTTGCAACTGCATGACAGGAATTGTTCCCGAAATGTTAGCTGCCCTGTAATCTGAATAAAATGACACACAGGTTAAACAATCAAATGCCAGTTATTGCCTTCATACTATGCGATGGGTCATTATGCAACTTAAAATAATTTCTATGCGCTCTCTGTAGAATAATATATGTGTCCTTTTGCTTTTCTCATACCAGAGGAATAATATTCCTTAGATTAAAATGTCCAATTCAATTGACATTGTGGTTACTAGGAGGTAGTCCAGCAGTTGTATTATTCAAAATGAATCATACATACCAAAGCACTCTTAGCAGTATGATTAAGAAATGAAATTCAGGTAAAATTGATAATACCTTCATAAAATAATGTCATAAATCATCTGTGACATTTAGGGCTTATTAGAATGTAAGAGGCACACAATATGATTCTAAATATGTCAGTAAACATGTCCTGATCATTTATTTGGCACAAAAGTCAAATTAATTAGTATTTGGATATGTCTGTACAGGTTGTACGTGTGTGTATGGGAGTAGACAGGGATGTGGGGGTATAATGTGTGAAAACACAAATATGCATTGTGTGTGTGTGTGTGTGTGTGTGTGTGTGTGTGTTGAAATGCTAAAATGTACATTTTATGAGTTATGCAGGCTATACATTTATATGAATACTTTATTTTGATGGTCCCCTTTAGAAATTCTGTTGACTTTAAGTAACGCTGCACCTACATGTCAACTAACTCAAGTATTAGTTGAGTATTAGTGGACTGTAGTGGTAGGGTTAGGTTAATACGGGGTTAGTAGAATTATTTAATTAATTAATTCCTCATGTCGTTCCAAAGCCGTAAGACCTTCGTTGATCTTCAGAACACAAATTTTTGATGAAATCCAAGAGCTTTCTGACTTAATTTTTGGGTGAACTAACCCTTTAAAACTATAATGACAGTTAGTTGACATGTAGGTGAAACGTTACTTATAGTTAACAGAATGTCTAAAGGGGACCATCAAAATAAAGTGTTACTGAAAATGTAAGCACTATGTGCCATTACATCATATAGCCACTTTTATTTATATATATATGTGTATATATATATGTATATATATCTGTGTGTGTGTAACTAATAAAAATGACAAAAGCACATATAAAATTACTAAATTTTCAACTAAAACTTAAAATGAAAACTGAAAATATAAAAATAAAAGCTAATTCTAAATATTAATACATACTAAATATTTAAATTATGAATTTTCCATTTTAATTGTTTCTGTTTAGCTTTAATTTATATCTATTACAGTTTTAGTCATTTTAGTACTTAAACTTACCGTTTTTCATCTAATATGTAAATTTTATCTTATTTCAGCTTTATTTCAATTAACGAAAATAATTGTTCATAGTTTTAGTTTTAGATTAGCAGTATTTTTTTTCGACACTCAAAAAGTTTCTTTCAGTCTTTTACTCATTCTGCACACTTACTCTTTAAATATTTGGCTTTGAGTTAAAACACAAATACCATTATGTAACATAAAACAAGATGCAAGATACTGCCCACTTGGGATATTACGCTCGTGGCATTCCTTTCAGTCTTAAAACTTGTATTAAAAGTCTTCTTTTCAAAGTCAGAGGAAAAAATCCCATTCAAAGTTTCATACCGTGAGATTATAACTTGTCTCTGCTCTTTGCTGTCGGACATCAAGGATGACCTTTCAGCAACATTGCCAAGATAATATTGTCTCTAATCCTTTCCATTTCTCAGAAAGCTGTCCTTTTTTATGGTGGTTTGGCAGATTGCAACCTGCGATACTAAATGGAGGCTGTCTGGTTGACAGCCATGAGTAGATGGTTTAAAAAAAAGAAAAAGCAATACCTCACATTATGATACAGAATAATTATTTTGACAGCAATTAGCCTACAAATTATCACTTTGCCATACAAATCACTTGTCATGCTCACAATGATGCTTTTGCTTAACATTTGCAATACATGCCTGTAAAAAATGGGAGAATCATTGGTACACCCCTCCCTTCTCTCCAAGAACATAGGCTACTCATCCAGAGTGAGTAAAAGGGCTGGCAAAATCACTCTGAACCCCTCACATCCAGGCCACTTCCTCTTTGAACTCTTGCTGTCTGGTCGGTCCTACACTGAGCACCAGAACAGCCAGGCACAAGAAGGCCATCTACCTCATTAACAGTTAAATGCCCCCACTGGGCAATTAACGTGCAATCCACAAAACTATTTATACTTATATTTATTTAGCATACCATACCTCTTATTCACATAAAACTGTTCATTGTTTGATCATGTTAGTTCACAGTGCATTAACATAAAAAATACAACTTTTGAATTTAATGTATTTGTAAATTATGAAATTAACATATATACAATTACAAATATATGAATTAGGAATGTTGTACAAGCATACTAAAAACAAGCAATAATTGCTTTATATGATGAACAGATTGAATTTAGCCTTTTATTGACATATAAACATTGATCAGCGAAAATAACAGGAAGCTCAACAAAAACTGCGAGAACAAACCTCTAGCGGAAGCTCAAACCAAGAAAACCTGCTTGAGCTTCTGTTTACCACAACTGATGTGTGAGTTGATGAATGTTTATATGTAAATAAAAGTGTAAATTCAGTCTTCATCATATAAAGCGATCGTGTCTCTTCAGAAAATGTTGGACTATACCACTCAATTCATATGGATTCGTTTCGAGATCTCTTTATACAATTTTTGGGTGAACTATCCCTCACAATAATAGTCACAATAACATTTTTATTTTAATAAAATTGATTTCAATAGTCACAATAAAATCAAAATGGGCAATTCTTTTTTTGTAGTATTTTATATAGGAATGTATTATTTATTATAAATGATTTATCCATACACATCATTATTTTTTTTAATTCATGTGCCCTCATAATCCTTAATCAAAATAACTTCCCTTTCTGCTCTTCTGTTCTCTGATTTGTTGTGAGGACGGGACAACCTGTCACTGACATGAGATCACATCAATAGCAAACCACAATGATCCAATCAATTTCCAATGGACAAAATCGAGTTCTGCCCTACATTTTGTCTTGTTTGGAAGCTGTTTCACTCGGATATACTGTACATCACAATAGGGAAGAAAAGACTATCGAGACTTCCGTTTCATGCTGACACTAAATAATGAATGCTCTTTTGTCAATGAGTTAGTAGCTGACGTCATAAAATCTGTTTTAGTGTTGAAGTGGACAACAGATTAAGCTGAGGAAAAAATAATCTCTTTATCGTCTTGCCTGACTGTGATAAGGTGAAGATGACAACTTTCTATTATGCACAGAAGCATTCTCCATCAATCTTCCTGCTAAAACAATGCATTGTTTTTCTGTGAAATAACACTGTCACATACTAAACAATAAGTAATCCAAGTGACTTTAAGTAATCCAATCTATTATCAAACAAATAACGGAATAAATGGATGATCACACATTCATCCTGCTTCAGCTTGTGATTTTCAAGCTTTCCTGAAGAGCTTGATAAGCTGATTCAGGTGTGTTTGTTTAGGGTTGAAGCTAAACTCTGAAGGACAGTGCGTCCCCAGGAGTAGGGTTGAAGATATGGATTAATGTACTAAGAAGTTCTAAACAGTTGATACATTTCCTTCCTTCAACAAACTTCATGCCCCTTGAGTAAAGCCAAACAGTTCCCTTTTCAAAGTGGAACTTTGATGCTGTGTCTTGGTGTTGACGCTATGGGGAACGCCTTGGTCACGGACAGCGTGTGTAAACTGATGACAATAATCATTGGCAGAAGGCAGTCTATGATGACACAAGTGGATTGCCCGAGAGTTTAAAAGGGGCCTGAGTTACACGTCATCAGCTTTTTTTTTTCTTCAGGAGCCGTTTATTTGCAAGCGAGCGCGTGAAGCAAACAACATTGGGTTCCTCTGTAGGCATTATTTTATACCTGAGGACTTGCATGAGCTCTGCGTCATTTGCCTCGAAGTGTAGCATGCACGTTCAGCTCTTGAAGGAGTTGGATGTGCTCACTGTGATAAGTTTACTGTAAGGAAGCCCTGCTCACGCTTGGGAGAGGGACAAAAGTCTGCACTCCACAGACCGGGCCCTGTGGAGGAGTTTGGGAAAGGCGTGTCAATTTCCCAGTCTCCTCAAGCCAGTTTACACGATTTGTTGGATTTAGAAGCCCCCTCTACGGATTCTTCTGATCTGGCAGAAAGCATGCTATTGGCAGCTCCTAGTTCTGAAGAGCTAGACAACATTGTTCTCTGAGGAACTAGATGTAATTAGAGTAGAGATATGATAGTGTTATGACAGAGTCTACTCCTTCTGTCAGCCCTGCATACAGGGAATTTTTGGATGTGATAGCCTGAGACACTGCCAGTTTAAGTCTGACTTGGTTACATCAGAAACAGGAAGTCGGTTGAGGCCACAGATCTGGCTCTCTGGGCCACCAAACAGTTGGCTGCGGCAATTAGTTGTTTGATGGCAGCGATGGTGGTTATGGAGAGACACCTGTGGCTAAACGTGTTGGGGATCAGGGAGAAGGAGAAATCTTTCCTCCTTGATGCTCCCATCTCGCCCTCTTGACTCTTCTGCACCTCCGAGGCAAGACCTACAATCTGAAAAAGGTAAGAAAAGATGTCATTGCCCTTCACAAACAAGGAACACAATACAAAAAGAGGACGAAGGCACTCAATAATCCTAGAGACACCATTGGAAGCATAGTTAACAAGTTCAAAGTTAAAGGAACGGTGGTTAAACTACCTGAACAGGGCAGAAAAAATAAGCTTTCAACGGCTGCAACCAGATTTCTGAGAAGGCAGGTTCGGAAAACCCCTCTAGTGACTATAAAAGACCTGCAGCAAGACTTGGTGGCAACAGGCACTAAGGTTTCAGCTTGCACAGTAAGGTAATAATAATAATAACCTTTATTTTATAAAGC